CCATCCTTTTGTCGCAAAGCAACCCACGACTCGCGGTTCTGTTTACGACGGATTCGTACTTCTCCATCTCTTTCGTATTCGTCACCGTTTGGACGCAACCCAACTGTAAGCTAAGCCAAGACATTGCCAAGGAATCCTGACCAGATTCCCCTCAGATATTATTCTCAACTTTTTAACCCCCAAAAATTTCATCTCGTGCGACGATGCCGGCTGCGAGAGAGAGACTCTCTCTTTCTCTTTTCTCTTTTGCGTTTCCTATTTCGTATCTCCATTTTCATCACTTTTTGCATCTCATCTCCGGCTGACTTCTTTTTCGAGTTGAGACGAAATTCGAGATGAATGGTAAAATGCGCGAGCGCTGGAATGTAAAAGAGTGCATTACGCCTTTCAACGCCGCGAAGATCGACTGCAGGAGTAAGTTGATGTAATCCAGTAGTTCTTTCTCTCGACGCGTCTCGCATCTCTTGGATTCTCGGAAAATGCTTTCGTGCCGTTGCGAGATATATATCGTATCGAATTCTTTTATATACGAGCGAGAACATACATACGTTTGTAAATGCAAGATCGCTGTTCCAAAAATTTATGTCTGCATTTTTCGCGAATATGTGGGAGCGACTCTTTAATTAGAAGTGCTGGTGGTATACCAAGGCAGGTAATTAACTTTTTTAATACCTGTGTAACATAGCACATGTGATATACAGTACATATATTTTAATAGCGTAAAAGATTTTATAATACGTAGAGTTCATATATAATGTAAAAATTTTGTAACTGGTTCTTCGATAGATAGATACAGGAATCTGTAATAGTTATATAGAAAAGTAGTTTCTCGATCAAATTTGAAATTGTTATATTTTGTAGATTACGATGCTAATCAAAAGTTTCCTTAGACAAAACCATAAAAAATTTGCAGTATTTGAAAGTTGTTATTTTGGATCTAATCGAACTGAAAAATATTTTTATCTACTAAACTATTCATTTTTTGTAACGTACTTTAATACTTTTATTCAGTAGAATAATATGAGATGAATCAATTAATATAAAGAAAGCATAGAATTGTTTCTGTAAAAAAATATGTAGTTTGCAAATATATATATTGCAAATTATATTTTTTGCAATATATAATTTTTTTAAAAAGCAAATATTTTCTTTATAGATATCAATAATTCATCTCATTATTTTACGCGCGCATAAAAGTAAATTGAAATGCAGTTACCAAGAAATGAATAATTTAGTAGATAAAGATACTTTTCAATACAATTACACTCAAAATAGCAATTTTTTAATGATGCAAAATCTGTCCTTTTTTATGATTTTGCCTGAAGAAACTTTTGATTAGCATTTTATAATTTACAGAATGTCTCAATTTCAATCAATTTAATCGAATCACTTTTTCCATATAAATAGTGCAGAGTCCTTTTACAATTATAATTTCCTTGACGAAATTGATAATATCTCTTCGATAAACATTTTATATGTTTGTTAGGTAATTCCATAGTAGACCCGATTTCTCAGTTTATTGTAACATAATACAGAAATTTATATGAGAGAAATTGAATTCTTTCAGTAATATTTCCACGAGGTCGTTTTTTGTCGGGCAGTCTGCGACATTCTGCGATAATCAAAACTGCTATATACGAAGCTGCGGTGATCGCACTCATTAAGCAATCGCGCGCGGCAACTTTCAAGGCTAATAATTGCGGCCTGTATGTCCATTTTCGTTGAATGATGCCGCGGGCAACACGGACCGGCACATTTACGAGGCTCATCTTACGCCGGCCAGATGCCACAGTTTCATTAATAAGTTTCTCTTTCGCGGGAATATCGCTCCGGTGCTCTCTTGTGCGTGTTAGTCGCACCATGTGAAAACGGAGCGACGAAAATCTTCGTTTCGTTAGCTTGGCGATGAGAAACGCATCTGTCGCCATCGTCTTTGAGTACTCAAGCGATTTGTCAGTACGTGATATATAGGATGTACAATAAAATAGAAATATTTGATCAAGCCGAAGAAAAATCGATTTTTTGTATTTACGTTGATAATGAATTAATTTAACAATACAATCTCATTTCTAACTTATTATTAAACAAGAATTTTGTTCAATTAATATTTAATAATTTTTTAAATAACTTTTATTTAGGATTTAATTTTCGAAGCACTTAAAATTACAAAAAAGAAATAACGATGTAATAATAATAATAAATATTAATAATATAATAATTTCTCATGTATTGTATATGTTTAAAGAAGAAGATTTGCCTGTGTGTTACCGTAGTTGTCATCAAAGTATTAAATGATACATCCTGTATTCGTATCAGTTTCATAAGAAACGTATAAACGTTTTGCACTATCATGATGAAATTAGAAATGCATTAAGGTCATTCTTAGAAGATAAAGATGCAACTCTATGAATTATGTAGGTCGATCAGGCCTCTGTCTTAATCGCGATTTAATAAATCAAAAATCGAAATAGAAATTTTACAACCTGTAATTAACTTCAGGATATATAAACACAGTATAGTATGACAATTGCTCATAAATAAAATATATGCAAAATCGTGTACTAAGTCTTATGCACAATTTTATTTTTTTATTATAATATTATGTATCTATGTCGAAAATGTTTTAATAGATCTATAAATTTTAACAGATTTTTTCTTAGCTTGATTCTTATTTTTATATTAATTTGATAACAAAAATGAATTCTATATAAGATTTTAATAGAATTTTTGTGGAATGTCTCGAAATAACTCAACACATTGGTCGAAGCAGAACAGCGCTCTTGCATTTATGACCTCGCAAAATTTGTAACGCAAAGAATCTACGGTTACGTATGCAGCTGTCGTATCATAATAACGTCAATAATACCGCCACGCAATGGCACGGTAATATGTCACTAACCTCCATGTTTGTTTCGTTTTTCCAGGTTACTCACAAAGTGACGAGTCAGGTGATGGTGCTCAAGATGAATCAGCTGGCGGCGAATAGGCCGAATATGCTCAAGGAAGTCCAGCTCATGAACAAGCTTAGCCATCCAAACATACTCAGGTGAGTTGAGGTGCCAGAATTGAATCCAATTCATTTTTGCCGATGAAACTACGCGATTGAACAAAAATCGCTTAGTCGAATTCGATGAGGATGATAAAATAAATTTCTAGCCGCTCTGCTTGCCTGCTTAATTCTTGTGTTACGAGCAGATGCGTCGACCCTCTTTTATACGAATTAGTTCAATGCGAGCAAAATTCAAGAACGATGGATAATAGGAAGAAAATGTGCGCAATGTTATGCATTTTTGATAGCATTATTTTCTGATATTCCGATAAAAATTTAACGATGATAACACTAATCATTAAGTCATTACATTTTTTTTTATTATACTCTATTATATAATTATTCTTTATATGGATCGGAACAAAAATTTGTGCTTCATTTGTATCCTGTCGAAAATTTTTTGACAATTATACGATTCGATAGAGCAAAGTTTCAGCTTTAAGAATCTGTTTTTTGGATTACGATGTGACAATTTTTGACGCAATTAAGGGCAATTAAAATCAAAATCCTCCTTTTATTTAATCCGTGATTTCAGTAACAAAAAATCTTAGGAACATTTTTTAAAAACGATTTTGTAGGGAGAATTTTGAAGTTTTCATGTTAAGAAGTAAAAAATTATTCACAAGTTTTTTTTAAACACACAACAGATCCACAAAGTATAAAGAACATTTTCCATTTTGTTCAGCTTGTTTTCTATGCATGTAATATTAAACTTATAAAAAGTCAAAAACCATAGCAACGTTTCAAAAATAGAGATTCTAAGCTGTAAAATCTTTTTTTAAATTTAAATTTTGTTCTTTTTTAACGAATCTTTTTACAACTGCTTGAATTTTAATGTTTGTAATATTTATTGTTTGTAACTATTTCTACGTATCAGTTTTGTTTATATATAGTTTCAATATGTTAAGGAAAATTATATTTTTTTTTAAGAATTGCACTACTTATCATAGTCGGTAATATTTACAGCAAAACTCTCATGCTTGCGCCTCACATTTGTTTCGTCTTGTCACGAATCAATTTAACCTTCTTTCCGGCATCATGCCAAAATGCTGGCTCAAGATTCTCGTATCAAGTGACTTTATACGATGTTATCGAAACACGTGGCGACCGTGTACTTGCAATATTTCATCTTAGTCTACACCAATCCATATTATAGAGCGTTATTGTTTAATTTATCATCCGGCGATTATATCTTTGAAATTTCTTTCGCTTGGGAGCTCACTAAAATGAGTAAAAAATTAGAAAAAACGGTATTATGCTTTAACTACACTCGTTACGAATTACGACATAATACGCTCGCCTAGCGGTAATAGCGGTTAGCTCGGCACGTTGTATCCGTTGCGAAAATTCTTGCTATATAGCAGAAAGCAGAATCCAAAGTGCAGGCTGCACAACATTTTTTACTTTATAACTTGTGAAATTAGATATGTAGTCAAATATTGATTTGTGGCTGCCAACAATTGTGTGTACATTATTTTATATTTTGAGACAGGAAAGATATTTTATTTCTTTCACACACTAGGAAAAAATATTTAGTGCCTTCAGTAAAATTGTTTAGTGTTGAGACATTTTTTAACAACCAAATATTTGATTTATATAACAAAATTTAATTCTTTTTGCAAAATAATTTCTCTGCTTTGTAAATAACAAAAATATTTTTTTATACCAATTAATAATTCGCAAAATTTTGGTTTATAGAACAAAACATTTTTCCTAGTGATACATTTTTAATTTTAATCATGATAATATATCGTGATAAATTTTATTTGCTACAAGAAATGAATGATATTTCATTATTTTCGTTTTAGAAGTTTAATTTGCTTGAAAAAAAACTGTTTACATATTAAATATTAATTATTCAGTATTTTGAAAATTATTCCAATTTTGACATTTCATTTTATCTTATTTTTATTTTCGTCAATTGATTTCCAATTTTACATTCAAAAAAGTTTGCTTTCCACCAGATCTGAAATTTCATACTGCATCTCTGCGAATAATTTGTGCAAAATCCATCACGATAAATATTTAGAAGTCATACTTTGGGAAAAGTTCAAAATATAGAGAGGTTTTCCAGTTTATTTTATTTTTTTATTTTTCGAGACTAATACTTACTTCTCAATTATGACATAACGCGCCGAGCGTTACTAGACGACGCATTTCGACGGGACGCACCGCGACAACGCATTCCGACGATATAAACGGCTTGGCCCAGATTCGGATGCGGTGTTTACTCGTCGCGGATCTAGCGGATCTTATTTCTGGCATTTTCCTCGACGAGGCCTCCGCGAAAACTCCGCGGATCCTCTCAGGATCCTCCGTTTCGCATACTCGGCTGACTCAGCCGTAAAAATAGTTATCATCTTCACTCGCGGCATTTGCCACGTGTATCGCGACACCCGCGCTCGTTGCGTCGTAACCAGGGTATTGCTATAGCGTGATAGTGTTTATACAAACGACTTGCATTAATTTCAGGAAATGTTGACATTGCGCAAGGTGTTCTAAAAAAAAGTATCACTATTTTTAAACAGCGCCTGACAACACAATAATACGACATTGACATCTGATCTGTACAACACGTGTTTGATTTACTTCAATTAGACATTTATAAATTTGAATTATATTGTGAATCGAAAATATTTATAAAATATTCTATTATACATGCTTCAATTACACGGTTGATCTGAAGTCACGGTTGATCAGAAGAAGATTTTTTTCCATGATTTGATAACAAATAATATTATCTTCTACATGTAAGTTAATGAATTATCTTAATGTATTGTTTGTCAACAATTATTGCCACATTCAATCTATCAATAATTATCTTTTATATGTAAGTTAATGAATTATCTTGATGTCGTTTATCACGATTATTGCCATATTGAACCTATCAGTAATTAATATTTATTTTCAAGAAAACAATAACATTCCTGGTAGCCTGCTGTTATTGCCATAAATGTCATAATATATTTTAATGACATATTATTGTATAATATTAACACGATATTTTTTAGAGTATCATTGTTATAGTATGGCATAAGATGCCGCATTACTTTCGTAGAATCAGCCGTAAACACAACAGTGTCATAACGTATATTATGTACTGTAGTATCGAATATTCAACGGTAGTATCAATAGCAGCATCCCAGTCATAATTCTTGGAACGACTTTCCGGATTAGACAATCGGCGCGCCATCACTTTCACGGCGAGAGCGACTCACTGAATGAAAACAACCGGAGAGTATCCGAAAATATCTTGCATCTTCGAGAACTCCGCATAATTCTTGCCTCCAATCGATTTGCTCATTACACACGCGAACGCCCTTTTACGTAATATTTGGCTTGCGAAAAATGAATTCGCTTAGCTGCGTGAAAGAGAAAACGCTGCTCTGACGCTCAGCTAGTGAATAATGACGCGGCATAGTCAGACACTCGTATCGACCACCGTACACTTGGCAGATCAGACTTTCAATTTACATGCATCATGCGTACTTATATTGTAATCAGGGAGTGTATTACAGTTCTTGAAATGAACTGAAAATTACAAAAGTGATCGAATTTACTAGAATATTTATAACTTTATTGCGGAGTCGAACATCTAGTGAATTTGTTCACTTTTATAATTTCTACTTCGTTTCAAGAACCGTAATAATTCCTGAAGCAAAATTTGTGCGATTTAAAAATTTGTGCATCGGGATTGCAATAATCCTTAAAATTCGGGGTAATATGTAACATATATACATATAAAAATTGGGATGCGATATATCGCATTGCGATTTTTATATGTGTGTATATTATACATTTATTCAACTGCCATTTTTGTCATATTAAAAATCTTCGGTAAATTCAGAGGGACAGATGAATAATAAAAAATAATTATTAGAACGTAGCCAATATAAAAGCATTTTTTAAAAATAATAGCATTGAAAAATTCCTAATAAAATTTGGAATTTTCATAGAAAAACTTCTTCACGAAATTAAAAATTATATATCAGTTTTTTGTTGCGCGTTAGTCGAATTGTTTGCATAGTTTAAAAGAATTAAAGAACAAGTAGAATATTAATTACAGGCGCGATTTTAAGTCACCTGCGATTTCGCAATTAAAAAGCCAGTTACATATCACACTGGCTTTTTAATCGCTTATGATATATCGCAAAATCGCACCTCTCTAATGCAAAGTAGACTTATTCAAATATAAAATTGGAAAGTAATTAACAGAAATGTCGAGGAATAATTTTATAAGAATAACTTTCAAAACACTAAATAATTGATATTTAATATGTAAATAATTAATGAGAATAGTTCTTTTGTTTAAGTAAATTAAACTTCTGAAATAAAAATTTGTTTTATAATTTAGTTTTATAACTTAGTTTTATAATTTAATTTGTTATAATTATTTATATTGAAATAAAAGTAATGAAATATTATATTTGATGTAAGATTACGTATTTAATCAGAAATAAACAAATGGATGGAAAAGAAGAAATACAAAGAATTGGAAAAGTAAATAATTTACATTAAAAGTACCGAAAGGTCATTATTGATTGTTTTTTTTTAATTAATATATTTCTCATATAAAAGGAAATTTTGAAATTTTTTAACTTTCTAATAATTATTTGAATAATTATTTGAATAATTTTTTTTTTAAGTATTTGATAAAATACTTGATTTTTCATCACTTTCTTTATTTTCATAGTAATTTATTCACTTGATCTTTTTAGTGAAATGTTGATACTTCTAGAGTTAAAAGAGAGCAACCCTTGCATAATGTATAAACATAATAAGAAGAGAAAAAGATTTACAAAGATTATAGCTATATAAGATTAAAAATCAAAATAATAAGATGAATGAAGGGGTATCATATATATCAATTTAAAGTGAATCACAGTCCTTTTTTAAAAAAGATATAAAAAAAGAGATTGACTACAATTATATTTCTCCAACAAATCGCTTCTGTTTTATTCGCATTACGCTTATGTTGACCTTCGTTTACCTTATCATTTCGACTTTCACCCTTACAACTGTATAATCTTTGAAAATCTTTTCCTCTTATTTATTATGCTAAATTATATTGCGAACTATCAAAAATAATTTATAAAATATTCTATTACACACAAGTGCTTAAATTATTCGGTGTGTTAATTTGAAGTAATTTTTTTTATATTTGATAAAAGATTATACTTATTGTTAGTATAAAACGTATATTTAGTCTTAAAAATTCGTCGATGTGACATATAATAATTAATATTTCTATGTATCAATCGCATAAACGACAAACCTCAGGAAACGCGAAGAGAGCGACAATTTCTCTTCTTATCTGATCAGCAAAAAATGAATCTGGAGCATCGTGTATGCATACCGTCCGTGTTTTATCCGAGAAAAATTCTTCGCCAGAAATTTCTCTTTCGGTCGCGTGGTTTGTTTATCCTCTTCCTTTTTTTTTCTCCCAGTTCTGTGGGAGAAACCACGACGATGTGCTTGGCGAGAAACGCCTCGAAATCGGGACGACACGACGCGACGCAACGCGCGATTTTCTTCTCCTCAGTTCTACCATTTATGCAAGATCTTACCCTAACGATAACGCAAAATGCATTCACCGATTAACTTGCGGGAGAAATGCAAGAAGCGGAGTACTTTTCAGGATATAATCAAGTTGTTTTATCGCAATCTCTGCATCTTTTTGGAATAAATTCTCATTTGCGGTTTTGTTATTTATTAAGATAATAAGAGAAAACCGTAAAAACTTATAACATTGTCCTTCGTACTATACTTTGAAAGTTAATTATGATTTATAATACAAATTATATAACTATAATTTGATTGTTATTTTATCATGTACACTATATATATATAAATTATTGTTATTAATTGATGCATAAATAACAATAAAATTAATGGAAATGTTTTAAATGCTCGCTATGTGTTATAAATTAAAGACTGAAGGATTAATGTGATACTTGGCAATATTTGTCATTGAATAATATACATTATTGAATATTTAGCAATATTATCTCAAAGGCATCCTTTGATAAACGAGACCGTAATGTTTCTTTGAAGCAAGGCGATGTGTAAATTCTCTCTGAGACTTAATCTAGCATACATGGCATAAAGATAACGTCTGTGATATCGCGACGATTAAATTACAATATGCAGACACATATTAAAGCTGTCTAGACCCTTTAATCATCTTGAAAGCACACCTGTATTTGGTTTTATAATTTAATAAGTGGCGATGTGTGTGTGATTTGCAAACAATGTTTGACAATATTAATTATAAATATTTTTTTATTATATTATACATTTTAGCATAATTTATATTCGTTCTTTTATGATTTCTCAGACATATTTATTGTGCAATATTGAATAATTTTTTTGTATAGAATCATAAATTATGTATACATGTATTTTTTTATTTATTATTTATCATTATTCATCTTCGCACATTTTATCTTTTTTATTATTATATCTTATAAGAAGAAAGTATGATTTATAAAGTGTGACACCTAATGTTATCGTGATTGTTCGCCAACTTTGCTCTATTCTTCCTTTGTTCGTTTTCATATTATCTAATCTTGTCTAAAAATCGTTGAATTGATAAAAGCGACAAGTTTTGAATTCACTTGCGCTTGCAACGTCACGCGGCAAATATCTTTTACCTTGTAACTATTTTGAAAATATTGCTGCAGCATTTAAATCTTTAACGGTCTTTACTTAACGAAAGTAAAAATTTTTTATCTATAATAAGATTGGAAACAAGACGTCCATTTATGTGAGAATCATCAGCTAAATATGAGAAGCATCACTTTCGGTCAAAGTTAGGTGTTAAAACTAATATATGTATATGTATTTTTTAAATGAATACATATTTTTTATTCTTTTACGTTATTCTATTATATGCTTTGAAATAAATAGTATCTATTAAATTTTGCAAAGCAAAGAGCTGCAACTTTTCATCCGGAAACCTTTTGTAATCTATAGTAGTTTATTTAAATTCTTGAATCTCTCAAAAGCGGAATTATAATTAGAATTTCTGACTGAGATTTTTGCTTACAAAAGCAAAACTTCAGTGCATTATTATTTAAAAGCCAGTTATTACCTCACTTTGCAAATACTGCAACTGTTTACAATAAAGTACTTACAGTATAAGTAAAAACGAAGGTAATAGTCCTACATTTTAAAGATGTACATTTAAAAGTTCTAAGTTGTTATACGTTGTATTATAATTTAATCATTGCGATAGTATCGGCATTATTCTTATCAATTATCTTAATTACTTCATATGTTAGATTAAGGAAATAAAAAGCTTTTAAACTTATATATTAATTTCCTTTTGAATATATTTTTTTTTAGATAACATTGAAAATGAAGTAATAACTTGTTTCTAAACAATAATACTGAAGTATTTTTTTTGTAACAAAAATTTCAGTAAGAAATTCTGTTTATAATTTTCGTTATTGTTAGAATAAATTAAAAATTTTCTCAAACGTACTGATCAATCTTGTCTTCTTTTCAGGTTCATGGGAGTGTGCGTGCACGAGGGTCAGCTGCATGCGTTGACAGAATACATTAACGGCGGCAGCCTGGAGCAGCTGATCATGTCGCGGCACACGCCGTTACCGCATCTCGTCCGGATGAATCTAGCGAGAGACGTGGCTCGTGGTATGGCCTATCTACATAGCCGCGGCATCTTTCACCGCGATCTCACGTCGAAGAATGTGCTGATCAAGAAGGACGAGTGCAATAACGAGATGACCGCAGTGGTGGGCGATTTCGGACTGGCTGCAAAGATACCCGATCCCAGCACAGGCTATCGACTCAGCACGGTCGGCAGTCCTTACTGGATGTCGCCCGAGTGCCTCAAAGGTCAATGGTATGACCACAGGTCCGACGTATTCTCCTTCGGCATCGTCGTGTGCGAGCTGATCGGCCGGGTGCCCGCGGATCCGGACGTTCTGCCACGCTCAGATAACTTTGGCCTCGATTACCTAGCCGTGGCGGAGATCTGCGCGGCCGCCGATCCGCCGCCTGCTTTCCTCCAACTCGCCTTCAATTGCTGCACGGTGAGTATGATGATATCTAACTGTAAAGGCATGCAATGCGCGGATTCGGTGCGAATGGCCATGGAAATTGGTATAGCTGTTACCAGATTGAAGTACGATGTACGCACGCATGTATTCACAATGGGAAATATTTGATGCGAATATTTATTAAATATTTAATTTTTTTATTGATTAAATTTGTTTAATTTATGAATCTGAATTGTAAATGGTGCTATCGTTTATTTGCAGTACGAACCTAAGTCCAGGCCAACCTTTCCGGAAATTACGACTAGCTTGGAAACTATGATAGCAGCCTGTGAAGAGGAACTGAAAAATAACATCGGTAAACGACAGTCAACCGTTGATCCAACGCTGATGTCCAGCATGGATGAGATTGCACGAGAAGGACGCACGACGAAGCGGCGTACCGCAAAACTCAGAAGCCAATCGGCGGACGCGAGAGGTTGCGATAACGCGACGCCATCGGATAAGGCAAGATGTCATTCTGCCAGGCGAGTAGCTGAACTCGCCAGCCGTCGAGATCCGCATTACAGGCCGATGACGGCGAATCCATTTCATGCATTGGGCGGCGTTAAGAAGATCCTCGGCGATCTGTTCTCCAGCTGTTTAGAGCTGCCCTCTTCGGAGGACGTGCGACCCAACATCACCGACAGCACGTGCAGCAAGTTCAAGCCGGCGCAAAACGATAGTATTGCTAAGATTCTGGACAGAAAAAAGCCAAATTCCGAACCGAGCAGTCCTACTGCCAGAAAGAAATGGGAGAGAAAGGTAGATGCACAAAGATTCAGCATAAATGATTAAGTATGGAATAGAGACTCTTCCATTAGTTTTAATCTTGAATTTATATAAAAACGGCAGCTAACAATATTTCTCTCTTTACAATGACATGCAATGATAATGTCTCATACAATCATGATTACTTCTTAAGAGTAAAGCATGATTATATCAAATGTTCAGTATGTATGCTGTTCAGAAACATACATATTCATATTTCATACATGTTTAAAGTTCTGATTATTGTGTTTGAAGATATATGTTTTTATCATGTTCACTAACACATGTACCACACGTGTGTTTTTAGGTCGCTACCAAGGTGGGCGTCGCAAGTTTGTTCACCCATCCGCTCTTTCGAGATGGTTGGGAGCCGCGAAGACGTGGCAGCTGCGAATCAGGTTTCTGGAGTTGCGTCGGTGAAGACCTGAGTCCAGAGCCGGTTAGGGGGGGGGCGTTTCTGGTGGGAGGATCGATTGAATGGCATTGGCTCGTCAAGCAAAACAATCTCGAAAATTGTCGAATACTTTGAGAGGAAGCAAGCGGGTAGACTCGGTGATCACGGCGACACTGCTGGTCCTAGTCGCCTGACTCTACTACGGGCTAGTCTAGAAGGGCCCGTGCCCATCAGCAGCATCTCGGCCGCGCAACGGCTAGTCGTGTGCGAAGGTGCCGTGCGCAGTAAACTTGCGTTATTCGACAAAAAGTGATATTACGCCTGAGGCTCTTGGCAATTTCTTATTATTTCCTTTTGACAAGCAGCGCCCGCGTAAAAAGAACCGTGTATAATGAAACGCGATACAGGTCCCGAAGAGAGTTAGAGGCTTGTTATCATATGCCGGTGACGGTGAAAATTCTGGGACATTACATGATAATTAGCGTGTTTCTTACATATAGTTGAAAAGTGAAGAATGTATGTTGTCTTAATGATAGTAGCAATCGGTCTTCTTGCGCATAAAAGATTTGGGGCGGATGAAAAGGGCGATTATACAGTATCGGCGCGTCATTCGTAATTTGTAGACAGGATAGCTGATAACACGCATGCGACGCATGCTTACAGACACTTCTCTAAAAACCTAGTAACCTGACTGTGATGTTTTTTGATAATCTACATACATACATACATTATTGAACTATAACGACTGAAATTTGACGGAGCCATCAACACAGGATCTTTTATACGCAACACGAGTCGCATTTCATGTAACTTGGCTACAACGATGCGCCGTTCGAAAAAGATAAAGAAGTAGGAAGGGGAGAACGAAGCAATAGCGAATTTTGTCAAAAAACTGCGTTTTCAGATTAGCGCCGAAGATAGCGCTAATCGATTATTGCCCCGCGATTGACATATTTTGCAGTGCCTCGCAGTTCCTAGTAGCCATCTCCGTCCTTATGCACACGAACCATGGGTATTACCGATCATTGTAAGGGTAGCTATACAGATCGACGACAAATAAGGGCGAATGACTTTTTTTATTTAAGTTGAATAGGCGGATTGCCAGGCTAAAGGTTCTTATCTCGCCATTCTTAATTTTTCGATTGATATGATTAACTTTATCGGATTGTGTTGTATTTTTTTTCTAATGTGTTATTAACAATCCTATCAATTTTTTTAATTTTTATTTTTGTACCTAAGGATTCGCTGGCCTGTTACTGCAGTCATTTTTTTTCCTGTTTATATTAAAATAAATTTTATTTATATACAACTATTTATATTTATTAAAATTAAAAAATTTTTTTTTAATTAAATAAAATAATAGCTATTAATTAATTTAAATTAACCGTCATAAAGTTTGATAAATGCAGATCTTGTTGCAATATGTAGTTATTTATCAAATAAGAAAACATTTATTTTATTGAAATTTATTCTATTGAGTGACAATAGTATAGAAACTTATGCGATATATATAAAGAAAAAAATTTATTTCCTAATAATTCTTTTCCTTATATCATTATTTAGCATGCTGCAGTGAGAGGTCAAGAGAGAATCCTTAAGTTCCACATCTACAGAGGCCTACGTCGCGTTTGCGAAATTCTTATTTTGTCTTTGACGTACTGATGTCGATGCTGCGCGAAGTTCATCGACGTTAGTATGTGCTTTTTCAGCGATTCGCAGTTTCGCGTATCATGGCGTGTTAATAGCTCGGGATACAAAGTGCCGGATGTTACGGTAATGCATATATACATATATATTTTTTTGTTGGCAGAGGTACACCGTGTCCTGGATATTCTTGTTGACGTGTTGCGCGTATAGCCGAGAGAGTTTCTTCACTTTGAAAAGAGAATATATGAAACTGATCTAGTCAGTGTATTAATGTGGCGGCCTTATCTTTTGTACGTTGTAGCGCTAAACTTGTAGTATTTAAAGTTGAAATAGCGAGCGTGAAATGAGCGCGAGATGAAATCGGGCGTCCTGCTTACGCCCGATGGTCTTCTCTTTTTGTTTTTGAACGTCGGTATATTTATATACAATGGAAAAGAGAGTGAGACTGAGAACGTGCGAGACAGAGTGAATGGTGGTGCCTATCGCATCGGTGTGCATGCGTACATGTATGTATGCGTATGCGTTATAGAAAGAAAGTGTACACGTCCAAAAACGATATCTATGTAGGTAGCTACGACTTTCACATATATAACGTGAATCGTTTTGTCGCTCAGACAGCGAGTCGAACCAAATCTACAATCGTAGAGTGATAGACTAATGTGACGATACCTTTTTACTTGTCGAAGTTCGCTCACGGGTTTACTCCATAAGACTGTGCGTTTGTTATGTAATAGGTCGCATTGTAAATAGAGATGCTCGAAATCGCGTCAACGATATTCGCAGTCTCTTCTTCCTCGTGTACAATAGGATGCGCGCTGTGTGTCTTTTCTTTGCGTTTCTTTTTTTTTCTTTTTTTTTCCTTTTAATTTTCGCTCGTCGAATCGGGGCCTTTTTTTTCTCCTCGATGCGTCAATCGGTACCTGAATAATCGAAGCGAGGGAAGGACTGCGAACGAGTTAGTTCTTAAGCATGCGGACATATCAGGAATATGGGCATATCCTGAGGTTCAACCTGATTGATAAAGGGCAATAAATGCGTGGTTTACGGTGTGATGGAGTTTACGGGATACATGTTGCGAATGTGAGTGCGTGAATGAGAAGGGAAAGAAAGAGAGTGAGAGAGAGAGAGAGAGAGAATATGAAAGCGGAGTTAGTGGACCGAGAGGCGCATTTTTAAAAAAGAAAGATATGGGTTATTTATTTTAAGTAAAAACAGTTATATTAAAGATTATATATCTATATATAAATCTACGCAAACGTCGTCTCTTCCATACTTTTCAACTGTTATCTAGAATCTACGACTGCTGTTGTAGTCCTGTATCTTCTAGTTCTTTATATTATTACACTACGAAGAGGATACGCGTGATATGTCGGGTTTCCTTGTAGCTCTCCGCGTTGGTCATCGAGATATATACTATAGCGAGCGCTGTGAACACCCGATTTTCTCGTGATCAGTGATCACTACTCATAAATTGGGCATAAATAAGCGTGGAAAAGAAAAAATTAATGGCAGCGATGACGGATGATAATAATAATTATGATTAATAGTAAAAGGCGGAGCTATATATATGTGTGTTGTGTATATATATATATATATAGCTATGTAAAAAATTCCTATATATATATACAAAGGTAATAAAGTTAAGGGCTCTCAATTTTTATGAAAAAAAGGAAAGTTATTAAAGATTTTTTCTAAAGTCATTAAGTCTTAACAATGCTAATGACCAAAGGAAAAATTAGCGATTTTTTCTACAGTTTTAATACAATTATTTTTATGAACTCATTAAGAAAAAGCACTTGTTTGTCAATAAGACAACATACACGACAACTATTATAAACGATATTTCATTTTACCAAAAATTACACTTATCTTTTTATTTTATATCTAATATCATCATTACATAAGAAATAGATCGTTTAATTTTGAAGCAAGCGATAAGAAAAGTTTGAACACTGATTTTAAATCGCATTATTTCTCATCACAGACTGTTAGTTGTACCCTTCGCAACAAAATTTCATTTCAAAATTTACTTTGAAAAAGATTTATTATAAATCAAATTTTCCGACTTAAAAATAAAGTTGTCGATAAAAAACTATTCTTGTAGTACAAGTTATAATTTTTTAATAATTTGAATCAAGCAATATTAAGAATTCACGATTTTGTTCCCGAAACAGATAATTTTTCTTAGATTTTTAAAAATCCGAACCATGGAAACACTCTTATCTGATTAAAACAGTCCTAAGTTACTTATCTTTCGTTCACTAACATGATGCCGGTAATCCCATAAGTTTCTGAGTTTTTGATGTTTTTACAATATATATAAACAAGGAGATGATTTTATAGAAATAAATTCCGAATTTTACCGAAGAAATGTAAAGTTTGTTTTCCAATCTTAAGATAATGTCAAATAAGGTGTTTTAGAAGATATGATCTTACATTTTTCGAATATTTTAATTAAAAAAAAACTTTTGAGTCTTATTTTTAAATCATTCTTTAGTATACGTAATATTAACGATCCCTTTCGAGCATCGGATAGGCTCTGCCCATATCCTCTTCTGGGATCAGCGGTATATATCTCGTTCTGGGATCATTTTTTCGCTCGTAAGCGTATGGGAACATCATCGTGGGATGTATTGTTCTGGCACTTTTTGTTGTCTTGTATCGCGGAATCTTCTGGATATGCGTGGCAACTGTCGTAGAACTCGAAACATCATCAATGTCAGTCAACGAGGGCAGGTCGCTGGTCGTCTCCTCGAAGTCAATTAGAGGTATGAATTTCCTCTCGTACGTGTTTGCGACCTTCTCGATCGTGGCTTCCTTTGTTGCTTCGTCCAGGATGCTAGCTTCGGCAGATTTTTGCGAATTTTCAACGGTATCGATCTCCATCGTCGGGATCGTCGTCGCCACTGTTTCTTCACTCGACGTCGCAATTCGCACGGTCGTTGAAATAACGTCGCTTTTGATCGTGATCGGAACCCAGTCGTTGTCAGGCTTGACTTCAGTTTCTACGTTTACGTTAGCCTTTTGCGAGGTCCAGTCATGACTGTGATCGAGCGACCAGTCCAGCGATCGCGAAACGTTTGAATCCCTTCGCGACAGAGAATTCTTCAAAGTCGATTCACCAATCGATTCACCAATTGGCTGCCAATCACTATCCTTGCTCGCTGCTTTCGTCTCGAGACTGGTGGAATTCGTGCTGACTGTCTTCTCCGGATACACAGCCTCGACTATCATCGGCGATTCCTCAGCTCTCGATACAGTATGCTCGTTCTTGTTTTTCTCTGTTTGAGCACTCGAGATCGATTCCTCATAACGTTTATCGTCGAAGTTGAACAATTTCTCGGACTTGCGCTGGCCGATTTCTACCCGTAGGATTTGATCCCCATTCCATGGTCGACTAGTCGTCCTACTCTCTGCAGTATTATTGACGCTTCTTGGACGCACTATATCACTCAAAAGAGGGAAATACTTTGGCTCTTCGTGCCGTATACCGGTCACAAAGCTTGGTGTGTACTGCGAGATCAGAGGCAACAGAGTTTGTCGGGCATATCGTTCCGCTTGCGCTAGGATACCAGCCAATCGCTCAGGTAGAAACTGCACGGTGAACGCTCTCGTGGAGGTCGACGACGTCTCCTGTATCTCGTCGTGTTGCTTCTCGTGTGATACCACCTCGTTCCGCGTGTTGTGCCTGGTAGCGCGTGGACGCAGGATCGGTTCCGTGATCTCGGGCAGCTTGAGCGATCGACCGGCGTCTTTCTTACTCGGACGCAATACCGGTTCTCTGATCTCCGACAAGTACTCCGTGGTAGTCGCGACAGTGGTCACGGTGGTCTCAGCAACACGCTCCGACACTGTCGAGGCATGGTAGATCAGGTTCGTGGCGCCAGAGAAGCTCCGTCCTTGCTCCGATTCTGCGTTTTCCAGCGAGTTCGAGTCGCCGTCACCGGATATGTCCAGGACGATCCACGGATTCGCGACGTTGCGCCGCTTCTCTGCATCCTCGAAGGTTGTCACCGTTTCGATTTCGGAGATGCGTCGATTCTGCTCCTTCGTGAACGGACCGAGATTTCGCCTCTGTGACGTTCTCTCTGTCGGCAGGATCTCCACGGAGTATCCCGGAGGATCCTTTGTGTCGTAGTTTTGCTCCTTCGTGAAGGGTCCTATGCCACCCTGTCTGTTCTCCATCTCTACATGTTCGAGTATTGGTACCGAGGAAGATACAGTGGAGTTGTCAGTGTCCAAAGGTATGTTGCATTCGCCGGGATAAAGGGGTAGGTAAACTGATCGACCGGATTCTAGAATCAAGCCCTTTTTACAAATCGACAGAATCTTGCCGAAACTATCGATTATTGCCACCTTGTCGATGGTCCATGACACCAATCCGGACGATATCCAACCGCTATACGCCGTGTATTTGATCTGTTAACATAACATAAAAATAATTACGTAATTCATTGTATATAACAATGTAGAATCAATTGCTGGTTTTGATGTTTTTAATTCTTTATTCTGATTTTATTAATGCCTGTTTCTACCAATGTACATTTCTATCAACTTATTCTTCATCTTTTTCGAATTCAATTAGAGAGAGAATTAGATAAAAATGAAGAACTAGTTGAAGAATTAAATTAAAATTAAACATTGGTAGGAACTGGC